GATAATTGTGTAGTTGATCAAACATATTTAATAGTTATCCCTATAGAAACATTGGATTTGTGCCTATAATGTCTTAAAAAGAATAATAATTGGAATATCAATGTATCTCATTCATGGCGGGTTTCAGTGACGTATAATTTACAAAAATGCTTCAAAATGACCAAAATGTGGTATAGCAATTGTCTACTTTTACACTGTTACATCTGGGTTCACCAGGGTTACTGAGAGTTACTGAAACTTTACTTTTACTTTTATTTTAGAGTTGATTAAAGAAACCAAGGAAAATGAAGAACTGAGTGAAGTTGAGGAGAAACCTGGAGAAAAACCTTTGAGTTGCTCTCAAACCAAACAGAAGGATTTAAAGAAAAGAAGAGCCAAGAAATCTTTCACCTGCACTCAGTGTGGAAAGAGTTTGACAAGCAAATATCATCTTGATGTTCACATGAGAGTTCATACTGGAGAGAAACCATACACATGTGATCAGTGCGGAAAGAGCTTCATTCAATCATCAAGCCTTAAGGATCACATGAAAATCCACACTGGAGAAAATCTATACAAGTGTTCACGCTGTGACAAGAGATTCAGTCGATCAGCACACCTGAAAATGCACGAGAGGATCCACACTGGAGAGAAACCGTTCACATGTGATCAGTGCGGGAAGAGTTTCACACAATTATCAAGCCTTAAGAAACACATCAATATCCACACTGGAGAGAAACCGTACAAGTGTTCACATTGTGACAAGAGATTCACTCAGTCAGGAATCCTGAAAACACATGAGAGGATCCACAGCAGAGAGAAACCGTTCACATGCGATCAGTGCGGGAAGAGTTTCAGACAATCATCAAGCCTTAAGAAACACATCAATATCCACACTGGTGAGAAACGGTACAAATGTTCACATTGTGACAAGAGATTTACTCAGTCAGGATTCCTGAAAACACACGAGAGGATCCACACTGGAGAGAAACCGTACACATGTGATCAGTGCGGGAAGAGCTTCACAATAAAAGGAAACCTTACAGAGCATATGAGAGTGCATACTGGAGAGAAGCCGTTCTCTTGTGATCAGTGCGGGAAGAGTTTCACACAATCATCAACCCTTAAGGATCACATGAACATCCACATTATAGAGAAGCTGTACGCATGTGATCAATGCAGCAAAACATTTTTGAGAGCTTCAGTCCTGAATAAACACCTGAAAGTTCATACAAAGGAGAAGCCACATTCATGTTCTTTGTGTGGAAAGAGTTTTTCACAATTGCACAGTTTAAAAGTTCATCAGAAGATACACACTGGTGTGAGAGAATATATGTGCTTTGAGTGTGAGAAGACTTTTATTACA